TTGTTTATAACAAAAATGGTTAAAGAATAGAAGTGCCTTCTCCTTTTAAATTATCTGTTTTGTGTTCATGAGAACCACAATACACAGTCAGTTTGTAGCTGTGGTTAGAGCTGAGATCATATAGCTGAGATCAGTTTTCTCAGTGGTTATACACGACACCTATGGTTTCCTTTTCATCCCATAGCTGGAGGTCTGTGGTCATCTCCAGCACACTTATGATACATTTCATGTATTTGACGTATTTATCCAATAATGAAGATAAAGGAGTTGCTAAAGTAAAACATTCATCCATCGTTCAGTGATATTTGCATAGAATTAACATTATTGCTGTTATTGTTGGCATGCAATATGCAGGAGTTGTTACTGTAGCTGCTTTTTGTAACTGATCAAAATTGTTTTGATACCTGTAAGAATGGCTGGATATGCTCTTTATCTTTTAAATTCAGCTGAAACATAACTATGCCAGGAGTATCACTTTCATATTGTTGTTAGTGTAAATACATTGAAGTTCAAATACATATATAATTGAAAACTGCTCCTGATGCCTTCCAAACAAATGACAAATGTCATCTTGATTAACATGAATTTTCAATTTTCTTTATGTGAAAGTGGTTTTTGAAAAAATCTGCCTGCTGCAAATGCAGGAGTCCATGAATGAACTGAAGGATCAGTTCTGTTGAGTCAGCTGTAATTTTTTTACAGTCATGGTGTTTTATGGTTACAGAAAAGTCTTCCACTAGTATCTTGTGATGATGTGGGGCTATAAAGGACACTGTGCTTCTTTTCTATATTCAGTTCTGATTAGCTACCTCACATCAGACTTTGAAGTGTGTGGTACCCTTGTGTTCAGGAGCAATAGTGGTTACTATAGGCTGCTTCTGGGATTATTAGATAGGTCAGACAGACTAATCCTTCATGCAGATGGGAAGATGTCCCTTTTGGATCCCACGTTTAGATTGCTGTTAAAATGGTTCCTCTAAATCATGGAATGGCTGTAGTTGTCAAACATTTCCTAACTGCTTCATGTCAACTGTCATCAAAAATCCTGAGTTTCATTATCCTGTTTAGTGCAGGCTTCGTCTTTCCTGAGTCAACTCTCAAAAAGTATTCAACTCCACTGCTCAAAGAATTATATTTAAAGCTTTAGGAGCCTTAATATTAGCACTATGTTTACCTAAACCCCACAAATATCTAAATACAGGAGGCTACTGTGCTTGGACTACACTTTGTATGCTAGGGAGGGGCTTACTTGAAAAAGCAGATGTAGAATATATTTGTATGATAACTGAGATTATGCAGAAACTGTCACTTTCACGACCATCCTTCTGTTCTAAAGGTTTTGACTTTGCCCTTAGAAAACTTGATTTGTTTTTCTTGACTTCTTGACTTTACTTGACTATTTTCTGTGAGTTAAAATTACTTGTGCTGAAGGGGTAGGAGGTGTACAGGATTACCAAAGTACAGTTTCGAAGAAGAGGTTTTAGTGGAATATCTTGTATACCGTTGCTCAGGAATGTGAGACAATTGAGAAAGCAAAATAAAACATCAACAGAAACCTCAAGTAAATAGCATATTCAAAATAACCTGGTATAGATTTTGCTGGATTTTTCCCTGCCCAAAGGAGATAAAACAAAACCATTTCTCCTTCTTTCCCCCAATACTGTTCTTGTCCTAGCTGTACCTTCTCTTAGATTTCAATCTTAGTTTACTCATTCTCCAGGCCTCCTTTCAAAAAAAATCTCTTAGATTTCTCCTTCTAGGGAATTCTTTTAGGCTGTGTGTGTTTTTAGATGTGCTACTTTTCTTCTTTCTGTTTTAAATAAATTTTATTTTTAACTGCTTCTAAGAATAAAGTGTATTGAACATTTCAATTCCAATATGTCATTCAAACTGTTTGTTATACTTTTAAAATTCTGTTGGTTCTTGGCAGAGCTCAAATGCTCCTTCAGGTACTTTAAACTAAGAAGCCCTGACCTTTTTTTCCCTGCATTCAAATAGCATCAAATGAATGTTATTGTAATAAAAATAATATATGTATTTTATATATTATTTCATTGCAAGTACAGAAGAAAAACCCAAGGAACCATGTTGTCCTGAATGAATGTGATGCTGAAAAACTGGTCTGAATTTATTTTATTAATATTTTGTGAAAGATTTCGACTAATTTCAGTAGTTATAAATGATATGAAAGGAAATGGCTGTCCAGGAACAACACTTGTGCTAAGAGAATTTCCCCCAATCTGAATCCATGTAGTGTTAGTTTTGGCCTTCTTCTTGCCTGCTTATTGCTCAGAATGTAATGTTCAACTAGAATCACTGTAAAAACTGTTTTCTTGCTCAGTGCTAAATAAAATTAAATAAATCACCAGTCCTACAAACCTGCAAGTATTTAGCATATTACTTCTAAAGTTCACAGACATAAATTTTCTGTTGTGCAGGAGGTTCTCTGTACTAGCCAGAACTGATAGTCTCACGCATATTGTGTTAGTCTTTATCTCCCATATGTCCACATCTGACTCCAAATATTTTTTCCATGCAGAAGATATATCTGGATAGCATTTGAAGAACTTCTGCTCACATCTGAGGATGTACTATGTATATATTATATAAACTGCTCCTGAAGTACTTGAGGAGTGGCACTGAGGAGGCTTGGTCTGCTGTGTGTCTGCACAGTGAATCAGTGCTCACTTGCATTGATTTCACTGTATCTTTGTGCCAGTTCAGTGGGCTCAGTGTTTCCAAGAGCAAAAGAAGGTGCAGTTCTACCAAAACTACCAAATGTTTTGGTTATAAACCAAATCTTCCAAGCTGTGCCACCGGTAACAAAGCTGTATCTGTACCACTACAAAGACAATGGTCACAGCAGCTGTGGTGTCACCATTCTGAGAGCTGCCAAAGGTTATTCTGTTCCTTTCTTTCCTCGCCTTGTGGAGTATCTATAAAAATCACTTTAAGTTCAGAGCATTGGGGCAGGACTGAAGTAGGGAATGTGGGATTAAGCACTAACAGACTTGCAGTAAAGAGGAGGGAGATACAATAAGTAGCAGGGGTTGATGGGCCAGTTGAAGCACATAGAAGAAAGCGTGAGAATTAAAATTTGGGAGGCTGCAAGGGGATTGTAAGAAATGCATTGTTGTAGTTCTGTTTGAAGAGATAAAATTTGCCCTGATGGCTAGAAAGAGCCAGATGGGTAGATTATTTCTTTTTTAAGACTTTGGTCTGGGAAACTGCAGGATCTCCCCAGGAAAGTTGTTCTATCATCATTTTCTCTGGCAGAAGCCAGAGAGTGAGGCCTGAACAAACTGTATTTGAGAATCTGAATTCTGTATTTTGAGTTCAATCCCCTTCCTTGTTATCTGTAACTAGTATGCAACATTTTTCTTTGTGTGGTGGTT